TAAAAATTACACATCGAAATTATTTTTTATATATGGTATTATTTTATTTATTTATGTATGCGAGATATATGAATAAACACAGTTTCCTTGTGTAACCGGAGAATACACGTATTATTGATACCTATATTTAAAATTGTTTTTTTAACAATTATGTGTTAAAATAAATAAAACAGAACTAAATAAATAAATGTGTAACTTTGATTATTATTATATGTGTAATATACGACCGGTTTCGAATTATGGAAATAATTATCTTTACCAGGTTACGCATTCATTTATTTGTTTATTTCTACAAAACTATTTATTTATATATTTAAACATTATTTTAAAATCTCGTGTCAAAAAAAAATGTAACTTAAAATCATAAATCATAAAAGGTTTTTTTTCCAGTTGAATTATATTATGAGGCGGAATAAATGATGTAAATAATATATATATAATATACTACTGTAATCCATTATTAGTATATTTATATAAAATTCACAAAAAATAATGTTTTATATAATTATTATTTTAATAAATATTACATAACAATATGTCAACATGAATATATCAATCTTTTATAATAATACTCGACATTTAACAGGAATTTGATTTGCTATCATTAATCAAAACTTCATTTCCAGCACCAGGTTTGAGAAATTTTAAAGACTCATTCAATGCCTTAGCCAATTCAGATATTGATTGAAACGCTTTATTTACATCGTCTTTCAAACCTCGTATTTTGACTAAATTGTTTTTAGTCGGGGCTAAAATATTGAACCAAATATTATTTATTAATAAATAAAATGCGAAAAAACAAATATATTAACATTATTAATTACCTGGACTGGGAAATGTAATTTTAACGTTAAAGGTTTCTTGAAGTTGTATAACGTTTTTACCCTTAACTCCGATCATAGCTCCATGATGACGTTGATCAATTAAAATTTCTTTTTCACTTACATTTTTTAACTTCAATATAATTTCCTCCAATTCCTAATAATAATTTAAATTATTAGAAAACCACGAATAAAACTACATGATGGACATTTGTTGAAATACCCAATTTTTTAATACATAAGACTTGTACATTTTTTTGGGACAAGGTAAATTCTTTAAAAAAAAAAATTCTCAAAAGAAATTCTGTAAAAAATTAAACCTAATGTATTAAAAATTAATTTTTAATGAATCGATTTTTGTTAACATTCAATTTTCAAATGATTATAAATTTATTTTTTAACATAACGCTAATTTTTTAGTAACTATTAAGATACATATATAATGGAAAGTTGTAGTACATTTTCAGATTTTTTGTTGAATTTCAATAATTTTATCCACATACAGTTCATGATATTTTCAAGTATTTATTAAGAATTTAATTAATAGTAATAATATATATTTATTGGCCAGAAAAATTACAGTTAAGTATACAATGATTTTATATATATAACATAGTTAAATGGTCCATCTCATCACTGAGGATAACCTCTTATCGGATATCGATACCCGCGAGAGATTTGACTATATTAAGTTTGATCAATTTGTTTTTGATGCAAAAAATATCTTTTAGATTGAAGAAAGGGCAAAACCATCAAATTCTTACAATTTTTATTTACATTGATATTATTACGATATTAGTTTACAAATATTTAGATCAGTGTTTATTAAATTCATCATATTAAACAAGACAAAATATCCCCTTAGATAATTGAAAAATGAAAAAATGTATATAACTAGTTCTATACACAAAATTGTGCAACAATCTTTCCTTACCACTTTTATAAATAGTAACAAGTAATTTATATTTGCCCAAAATTTCAAATTGATTGTGATAATGGTTTTGACTGTACACAAATCACTGACCGAGTGATACATGAATTAAGATTTAGAATAACCCAAATGTTTTAAATAATATCTACGTTTTTAAAATTTCAATGAATGGTTTTAGTGGTTACCACAATCATACGGGATATAATTAAAAAAATTTATATTTCGATTCGTTGAAACATATTTTTGCTACATACTTTTATTGCTTTTGCCGTACTATTTCTTGTTCCGGTAACATTAATAATCTCGGACGTATTTTTAATGCTAGGTATATGTATTCGTGCTCCGGTACGTATTTCGATATCTTTTCGGACCGCTCCTTTTTTACCCATTAATTTACCATGATGTTCCTTAGCAATATTAATAGTACGAGTAATGTTCTAAAGAAAAAAATATTATTATAATTATTTATGCGTACAAAAAACTATAAAATAACAAATGATTCGTCAATTTTTTATTATACACATTTAAGTATTAAAATATTAAAAAAAATATATATATAATTCATAATTCATTTATAATTTGCGCACAAAAATATACTTAATTACAAATAATTTACTTGGGTTTGGAAAAAAGCGATGATCTTAAGTTTCGCTTGATCAACGTTAACTCTTTTTCCCCTGACGAGAAAAGTCGATTCCATATTTTTTGATGTGCTAATCTCTACTTCCACATTAGTTTGTATAGCAATTTTTCTAAGTACATCTTTATATTTTTCTCCCGCGCATGGTTTACACTCTTCCATATTACAATTTTCGGCAGTTATTGTAAATACCTACAAATTGTACTGAATAAAAACTATGTTTTTATTTTATTTTTACTCCAGATATAAATTCACAAAAAACTTTTTAAAGCTTAACTATTCATACAGAAAGAAAATATTGTTAAAATATTAATAAAAATAATCGTTATCTTTTTTTTTTCGTTGCACAGATAAAGAAGATAAATAAGAAAAACTGCTATAAACAGATATTATTTTATACAACTTTTTTACCAATTTACAGTTTACTTTTACATTACAGTAAATTAATAGCTATTGGAATATAAAAACAGCATAGTTAACAAAACTTTTCAAACACCTATCAATATAATTATTTAATTATCATAATATTTGTATAGTAGTATATTTTAAGTCAAAGCGTAATAATGAAACTACGAATATATTACAAGTCATCAATAATAAAACAATTTTCTTTTTTTTTTGGCCCTGAGGGGAGTTTGAACCCGGGACCCCCCGTATGTTATGCCACTGCCCTGAACTGACTACATGGTTATAATCGTAATAACGCTTCGGTCACATTACAATCCCAAAGACATGTAATCATGTTTATCGTTCTGATACTAATTAAATATTATTAAAATGACTTCATGAATTACTTCATTTACAGTTGAAGTTTTAACTTTAATCTGTTTTGCAGACACTGCACTCTGACGTTTGGTCCTTATGTTGTCCAACGTCTTTAAGGACGGTAATGCCGGAAACACAGTGGCATAGCTGGTGCCGTTGTATCGTATCGTTGCAACTCCTGTGCTAGTAAGGTTGGACACAACTGGTACACTGTTCATCTTTAGAATATTATTCTGATCTCAAGTTGTAGTCTTGAAAAAATACCAAAGACTTATCTGTTTCAAAACAAAACTGAGAACACTAATCAAAATCTGAATAAATGTAGTAATTTATTTCAGTCGAATCTGATATGAATGCTCAATTAGTGTGGAGGTTTAGAAAATGATTTAACACTTCATATAAATCAAATAGATATTCTTCTATGACTATAAACAATTGACAAACAGATTCAATCACCAATAGTTACGAATATGCAAAATATTATTGTAATATCGAGACATAACATGTGTGCAGAGTGTATCGCGCAAACGGGCCCCAAGGCTTACATAAATTTGGGGGGCCCTAGTCCTGGCCTGAAATAAACTACACTTTACACACAATTATTTAATAATAAAAAGAAAATTTTTTAAAATTTAGGTAAGATTGTTATAATGTTTTAGAATAATATAATATTTATTTAACAATGAGTCCATTGAGTATTTGAGTAAGAATACAACATACCTACCTAAACTACTTAAATAAATTTACTACATAAATATAGTGAAGTATAATATACAACAGTTATAAGCAGTGATGTATTGCTAAAATAAATCATAGGTATACGCCTTATTTCATGTAGTAACTATTATATGGTAGAAACCAAAAAAATTTTTTAAATATAAAATTAAAATAAAATTCTTAATGTAGGTAAGTGTTTAAATAAAACGTCTTAAACCATTAGAACACAATGTTCACTTTTATTTTTGTTGGTATATAAATAAAAAAAAAATTGTTTCATTCACATTAGTTATGTGTTCAACATCAAAGGAGTTAGACTGTGTTAACTGTATTAAAATTTTAAAATTAATTAAACGTATTTTAGAAAAAAGTCATACTATAAAACGACGTACATCTACCAGAATCAAAAGAGTTACGTTACGTAACTTTTTGCAATATTTAGAATTTTTTTTTTTTTTAGTGTGTTTAATCAAACATGTCTTCACTAGTTCCAGTTCCAATAGTTGCTAAATCAAAATTTGAAATTTATAATAAAAAGTATGTTTCAGTTGGATATTTAATTGAAAAAGAAATTTCAATTTCTGTATTATTAGAATCAAACAGAAATTTTTTAACTCTGGATTTGACAAATTGGAATGATTTAATGCGTGAGTCTAATTTTAATTTGATTTTAAAAAATGTTCAAGCACGGCACAAGTCTTTAGTTAAATTAAATGACAATTTATGTTATTCAATAAATGCAAAATACTCTTCAATTACATTAAAATTGAATAATAATACTTTAGCATTAAGTATTATTGATCTTTGTAGTTTAAAACAAATTCAAATATTATAGAAAAACAGAAAAAAAACGAATTACTATCAAAATTGTTATAATTTGTTCTATTCAATATTAAAAGAATCCATATCAAATCTTCCAGCTAGCTGTCAATCAAATGCTTTTACATATCAATTTATACAAAATTATGGTTATGACTCAGATTTAGAATGTATGTCTTTAATAAGCGAAATTCAACAGTTTCAGTATGTACCATTGTCAAATCTAATATTGCAAGATCTATATCAATAGAATAATTAAAAATATTAAAATAAGTATTCGATGTATGAAATTTTATTTAAATTACTTTTTTAAAAAAAAATTAAAAGCAATATTCAAGTATAAATATATATTTTTATTATTTCAATATATAATTAAAATTCAATTTAAATTTTTAATTGTCATCATTTTCTTTTTCGGGTCAGCCATAAACCGATCCAAAATTATTTCGATTGTTTTTTGCAGTTGGTTGTTAATATTTATGTCGTTGCTTTTCTGGTCTGACAGATTCATTTTGATTATACATTCAGCATGTTTCCACCTAAAAAATTGAAAATGGTCAATACATAATTATTTGAGATTTCATATTTAATATCATCTTTCCTGAGACGGAAGATTAGCAATTTTTTCAGTTTTGAAATGCTGAACCACCCAATAGTCTTGACCAGCTGGTGATGGACATTTTATAGTATAATTTTTTTCTGCTTCTCTTATTATGATACTGTCACTAAATTCTGTTGTTAAATTATTATATTTTTTTGATTTTACAATAGAATTAAGTTTTTCTTTATATGATACAACCTAAATATAAAATAAAAATATGAATTAGTTCAATAATTAATTTTTGTTGCAAATTTTTTTTAAAAAAAAAATACTTTTCCGGATTTAATTTTTTTAGTTTTTCTTTTTAATTTTTTTTTAATTTTTTGCTTATTCATTTCGTCATCCATTTTTATACTTGAATTGGTCTAAAATAAACATAAAAGAAGACATTTTTTTTTATTCATATACATTAAGTTCAGATTTATGTACATTTTTATTAAAAGTAGACATGTAGTTTGATAAAAGATAGAAATATTAACGATTCGTTTAAATGAAAATGTAAAAAATAAATAAATATTAATTATGATTGTACTTAAATCACTGATATTTGAACTGTCCTCAGTCAATTCTGAATATTCAAAAGCTGACATATTTCTTAAGAGCGTCGTACTACAGGTCTTACTGTGAACTGATAATATTATAGAGACTACTTACAGCTTTATATAGTAGATACTACTACTTCTACTTTCGTACAATTGTTAATATTATATATATAACGTATTCAGAAATTCGTCGCTTAAGAAGTAACACCGCCTATTCAGTTTTATCAATTTTACAGGAGAACAAGAAAACCAAATTCTGTGTAATTTTAATATTAAATGTGACTCCTGACTTTGTGCATCAAAATCATTTTGATTATTATTGTTTACATTAGCGGTGTCGGTCGTCACTAGGTCAGTCTCGGCGAGGGTAGAGTATCGGTTAGGAGAGATAAAGTATTTTGTTTTCTTGGAAGTGGTAGCGGAGGTGGTAGAGGTGGGAGTTTTTGGCGATTGCGGAAGCGATCGTTTATTTTCAGATTGTGATTGAGAATTATTATTCTTATTCATTATGGGCTTAGTTTTAACTACTTGATTGTTAATTATCTGTATAGGCGATACGGTTCGCTTCGGTTTTGTAGAATTGTTAGCTGACATAATGAGTATATCTTATCTGAGTCCAAAGGTCACCGTGTGGACGGTGCCTCGGAGAATGTTAAATTTGTTGGTATATACGGTTGGATTTTATTTATTTATTATAATAGTCAAATTAAGTTTCTATTACTTGTATTCTTCGGAAGGAAGGTGGAAGTCAGCTGAGAATGCTAACTTGTGCCGCTTTAGAAGATGCGCCGATAGGTATGACACTCGATAAAATCTGTGAAGATTAGATACGTTAAACTGAACATTTCACGAGAGCAACAAAAACGCGTGCGCACCTAACGACGTGTGCATTGGAAGTGTGTTACTTCTTAAGCGACGAATTATTATTCTTCTTAGAAAACGGTACGAGGTGATTGGGAATCATTAAAAACCACTTATAATGCGTACATACACAGACCTACCACAATATTATATATTAAGTCTTGTCGTATATAATTGTTCTTGGAAATGCATAAGGTAAATTTATATACTCGTATATGTTTAGTAAGAAAATAAAATAACGGTCATATTTTTTTTTAAAGTAACAATACTCAGCTTTACACCAATATCCATTTCTATTAGTTCTCTCGTTCAGTGTTAACACTCGTAGTGTGTGAATCTGACTTTACAACGTACGAAAAGATTTTTGTTAAAAAATAAAAAATCGATTTATCATCAGCAATAATGTGAGTGTTAATATAAATACATAATATCATACATATAAAATATAATTATTTTCATCATACAATTGTTTAAAGTATTATCTAGTTTTTCTGTATATTTTTCTAATCATAGTCTCATTTTTCTGTTTAATAAATTAGAGCGAACGAGTAATTATTTATTCAACATTATATTGTAAAACGGTTTCGTAGTTGGAAATATTCTACGTCTTCTCAATTGCTGTAATTAAAAAATATTGTACGTTTTCTCATTATAACATCAAAAATAAAAAATGTAAGTCTTAATATAAATATATCAAATGTATTATATAATACGTATATTTTACTGTAAGACATCAATGTAAAAAATATTTTTTACGAATAATAATAATACAAAATATCTGATAATTTTAACATAACGTATTAAAGTAAATATATTTATTTTTTATTTTTTTTTTTTTTTTAAATGAAACGGCGAATGATTTCAAAAAGCATTCGTATGAATACGATTGAAGATGGACTTGTAGAAATAGAACGCTTTAAAAAAACTTCTAAAACATTTTTTATAAAATATACATCAAAATTTATAAATTATCCATTATTTTTCAGTTCGATTTTTGACAAGATAATTTCTAAATTATAATATTCATGTATACAAATGGTACAAGAGAAGCAATTTTAGCTATAAGGGTACTTACGGAAAGAAGGCTAAATGTAAATAGAAATACATTTATGACTTTCATTGACTTAGAGAAAGCCATTGACACTGTCAACTGGGCACCATTGATGAACTCTATGATGAAAACACGAATAGATTGGAGGGATAGACGAATAATAATGTTACTATACAAAGAACAGGAGACCTTAATAGAGGTAGGAGAACATAGTACTACAGCAAAAATTAAAAGAGGGGTAAGACAAGGCTGTTCCTTATCTCCCTACTTATTCAATATATTCGTGGAAGAAATCATGGACAAGTATAAAAGAAACTCTAATGGAATAAGCATAAATGGAGAAAAGATCCGCTGCATACGATTTGCTGACGATATTGCTTTAGTATCTGAATCAGAAAAAGACATGCGAAAATCTTTAACCACCCTGACAAAAATACTACAGGAATACCAAATGAAAATTAATGCGAAAAAAACAAAAACAATGGTGGTGACTAAAGCAAAAGAAATCCCAGTAGTGAAAGTGGAAATGAATAATCACTTAGTAGAACAAGTCCAACAATTTAAGTATCTAGGAAGTACGATTACAAGCGATGGTAAATGCTCAATAGAAATCAGACAAAGAATAGCTATGGCAAAGAGAGCATTTACACAAAAACGGCAGTTACTTACAAACAAAAAACTAAATATAAATATGAGGAAAATCTTTATCAAATGTTATATGTGGAGTGTACTATTGTACGGATGTGAAACATGGACTATTAATGGACAAGACAAAAAGAAGTTAGAAGCCATAGAAATGTGGATATGGAGAAGACTGTTAAAAATCAGCTGGACAAAAAGGAAAAGTAACGTAGATGTATTAGACCAAGTAGGAGAAAAAAGAATCTTATTAAACACCATAAAAGAAAGAAGTGGAAAAATGTTCGGTCATCTACTTCGGCATAATTTGTTTATGACAAACATATTTGATGGACGAATAAACGGTTATAAAGGAAGAGGCACACCGAGGAAAGCATACATAGAAGAAATGATAAAACAAGCTGATTGTAGTCGATATACAGAAATGAAAAGATTGGCTTCTAATAGAGAAGAATGGAAAGCCAGATTTGCAACGACAAGGCAAGGCCTTAAGTAAAGAAGAAGAGAAGAAGATGTATACAAACTTCAATTAAATTTAATATTCATGTTGATAGTGTTTATGAACGTACACTATCAAATGAAATCCAAAATGTAGCCTTTAAGACTAAAAATATGTTAGGCTGTAATTCATCTAATTTCGTGAGTTTATTAGATGGCATGTTTAGCAAAATATTAGAAGAAGAATCTGAATATATTGCTAAA